TCTTACTTCCCATCGATACTCTGAATATGGTTTGAAAGCTAATATCTGTTCCATGACGTAGGCGGTTGCCTAAATAGATTGAATGCGTGCAAGGCTGACGCGCAAGCAGCGCACGGCCAATTGTCAACTATATGGCGCGCATACGCTTGGTCAGGGTCATTGGCGAGCGTTCCCATCGTTGACAACTGCTCTCGCGCCGCGTGCGCATCAGCCTTGCATACTTTCAACCTATTCGGCCACCGCCTTCGACATGGAGCAGATTATAGGCATACCCAATAATCTCGCGATAGGGCCTCCCATCAGATAAGTCCGTCTGCAGATAAGTTCTTAGACTCATCTGACAAGATATTAGGGTGGTCATAAAGAAAAAGGACTTATATGTAGGGCTGCTTTATTCGAAGGATTTACAGGGCCGCCTTATCTGTGTCAAAGTGGACTTATGTGTAAGATTTTAGGGTAATATGCTTTGTCAGTTCTTTGTCTTTCGCGCTGTACTAAGGAGCTATATGCTTCAAAGGGAGTGGACAGGCAAATTGGGCCCTTCTCGGATCTTGGTGGAGTGTGTTAGTAGACCACCAAGTACATCGTAGCCCAAACCCCCTGTCAATTCGTGCGCTAAGTCCTGAAAAAGGCGCTTTAAAACTCCACCAATGACGCCCACTCAGTGGAAGTGGGCAGGGCTGGTGGAGCCTTGAAGCGCATTTTTCAAGACTTAGCGCATAAATCGGCAGGTTGGGTTTTGGCTACAATGTACGTGAGGGGCTACTACCTAACTCCGTCGAAGTCTGAGAATGGTTGTTTCACTGCCTTTAATGAAACAAAATTGTTCGATAAAGTCAATTGCGCACAAAGTAGAAATCATTTCATTACCCCGGTTTTTCTTCTTCCTCCTTCTCACTTGATTTTTTGCTACTTTTGCGAATGGGTATAGCTGGACATTTCTATCCTCTACCTTTGTACTGCAACAAGCCTAATTTTAGATTACTGAATTTGCGGAGAAAGCGGCTCAAGCGCACGCTGAAATACAAGCGCAAGCCTCGACGAAGAGTGGGGCACAAACATCTTCAGAAGAGGTACAAAGTTCGGAAGCCGCCCCATCATCAACTGCTCCATCCGCAGCCCCTGCCAAGGTAACGATATTCATTTCAACCTTGAATTCAGTTTCTTGACTATTATAATTCTTTTCCAAGGAGGCTGATCCTTGGGACCTGTTGGACCCTGTTGACGTCATAGCCAAGCTTCCAGCCGATTTTAGCACTAATATCGAGAGTAAGAAGTGGACGGAGAGAAGGGATGCGCTACAGGTATGATGAACTTTCAGATTTGTTATCGAGTTTCAAAACCATGCTCTCAGGCATTCTTGGATCTTCTCACTGCTAATCCCAGATTGGATCCTAAAGCTTCCTACGGGGAGCACATTTCGCTATTAAAACGGGTACACTATAATTCTCACCCATTACCTGCTCGTATGGAATACTTGTCTGATTTAGATAATCGAAAAAGATGCCAATATCAATGTTGCTGCTCTTGCCGCCAAGTGTATGAAATGCGTTGCTGATGGTCTTCGCAAAAAGGTTTTGTTGCGCCATTTGAATACGCTTCTCACTACGATTGTCAATCTTTCAGTTTGCTCCACATGCTCCAGCAGTCGTACCAGTGATCTTCGATAAATTCAAGGAAAAAAAGCCCTTGCTCAGGGATCCGCTGGTGGAGTGTATCGATGCAATTGCTGCTACGGTAAGATTAATTCAGCAAATCGCACTTCGTATTTTCTTTTTCAAATTTTGATTTATTTCTACTTGTGTTTGATAATATTTGAAGTCTCGATTTGCTTTTATTATTCTCGCAGTCATTATCAGTATTTTTTCTGAAGGCGATATTTTGCAGGTACCGGACTTATCCGGCCTGACCGGTTCACACTTGCTATTGCTAAGATCGCGGAATTAAGCAATAGCGAATGTGAATCGAGTGATATGACCGATTGAGTCTGGCACCTGCCTTCACACAAATTTTTCACATTTTGGTAAAAATTCAGCAGTGTTGGGAATGATTTTGCTTTTCTAAAACAGCAGCTTGGTTATAAACCGAAAGCGTTTTCACGTAGGTTGTTTACTGATTACGTTCTAGACTACGTTGGAAGCCATGGGTGATGACATCATAGCAGCCCTTGAGAAGCCGAATCCGCATATCAAGATACAAACAGATCTTTTTCTCTACAGGTGTGCATTACCATGCTCTTTCGCTGCAGGCTTTGTGTTTGCGCCATTCATGGATATTTACAGAATCTTCAAGGTGCATAACAGTCAGACCATGCCCAAGAAGACATTGAAGGCCATTGCACCGTTGTTGATAAAGGTATTGTTTGTGCTTGTCGGACATCATTTTCTTGAAAAGTATTACGATATTTTGCTCCATGCTGGTAATCTAGTTGAAAGTTTAGAATTTTTTGGGCATTCGTATTCGATCTTGATGCATGACAACTTCAGAAACTTGTCATTCGTTCCATGACCTGATCTGAAGTAAATTAGCAAAAAATTTCTCCTGCAAAAATTGAATTGATCGCAGAATCGTTATCACTAGTGGAAGTCTACATTTTACTCGAATATTTCAAGATTGTTTTTGGTCACGTTGTTGTGCACTCTTCACCGTATCTATCACTCAATTACTTTTGTATCCAGAAGCACCTTGGGTCTTACCCACCAGTTTCTTTTTAGCATACTGCTGACTCCGACGCTGAAGTTCGTGATGCATCCTACGCCGCTCTGGGTTCTGCTATGC